TTCTGACTCTCAGTGGTCCTACAGGACACGGCAGAGCTGCCCCCAGGGGCGCCACCATGAATGGAGGCAGCCAGCAGACCTTTGAGTTAATGGTGAACATTTAATGATTATAACAGGTCCCTGCCATCGAGTCAATTCTGACTCCCAGTGACCCTGTGGGACACAGAGTTGCCCCAGCATTTCCCTGTCTAGACCCGCACAGACCGTCCCACCTTCCTCTCAAGGGGTCACTGGTGTGTTTGAATCACAAACCTTTCAGTGAGCCGCCAAGCATTTAAACCCCTCTGCCACCAGGACTCCCTGACAGATTACGTAAACTAGTGTCTCTCTCTAGGTAATGCCTGAGATGACTGGCATCCCTCTCCGAGATGGGGACTGAACCCTCTCACCATGGAGTGGTCACTGACAAGGGTGAGCCCCCAACACTGCCCCCCAGGGTTTTTAGGGACAGAGCCTTTTCAAGTAGCACCAGGATGTCTTCTGAGGTGCCTCTGGGTGGGGGGGGCTCCAAGGTTAGGCTGCTTCTGAGGTGCCTCTGGAGGGGGCCCTCGGAGGTTTTCACTTACAGCAGAGAATGTTAACTGTTGGCTTCATATGAGGCTGGTGATTAAGGGACTTTAAGAAATTGTACAATGAAAATCTTTGAAAGTACAAGAGAAGAAAACACAGCACAGGGAAACTGACTGAGCACACAATCAGTGGTAGCAGGGCAGACTGAGAATCTGATTTCCACACTACTATCCACTTGGTCAAGTGCACTGTAACGTACAAAGTGCTGGTCCTGAGTCACTAAACCCACATCTCAAAACCCACACAGGGTAACTGCCTGCATCTGAGATGTGTGTTTAGAGCATCAGAGCTGGTAAAGGCTGAGATGGGTAGTCATCAAAGTCACAACTTGCCTAGAGTTAACCTCCAAGCTGCCAAGAGGACCAGCAAGGCTGCTTGGAGGCAGCACAGACTCTCGGAAGCGTGGATGATGAGACCTTGGCTCACGTACTTTGGGCATGTTATCAGGAGGGCCTGTCCCTGGAGGGAGAAGCAGAGAAAGGCAGGAAACCCTCAAAGACGTGGAGCGGTGTCGACGGGCTGGAACATCGCAGAGATGGAGAGTGAGCCGGCAGGCTTCCTCTGCGGTCCAGGGAGGGTCACAGGAGTCGGAGCTGAGCTGACCTAACAGGATTAAGTCATGTATACTTTTTCTTTCCTTTCCCCATTGCACCACGTAATGATGTTTCAGCGTGCCGTTCGGAGTCAGTAGACCTTGCCTCGGCACATCTTCCTCAAGCCTTTGGTTAAACAGAACTGTTGGTGTGCTGGCTGCCTGGCCCAGCTCAGTAGGCAGACCTGGAGTCTCAGTGACAGACGCTGGGTGAGCTGTCTGAACCCAGCAGAGGCTCCTCAGAGGACATTCCTGCCAGCCTCTCTCTAAAATACTTCAGCCCAGGGGCAGTTCCTCCCTGGGGTCCCCCAGGGGGTCACGCCGAGTCATCATTCATCCCAGGTCATCTAACAGCAGCCACCCCAGTAGGATGCCTGAGCAGCCAGCAGCTCTGAGTCACTTACCATGAATGTGGATACTCAACTAAGAGCCTGAGGCAAGACGCAGAGGGTCCCCTCAGGCCCCTGTCTGTGGCCCTTCTGTCTTCCTTCTGGGAAGCAGTGGGGTAGAGAGTCAATGTCAGAGGGAGGGCTATTCTCAAAGAGCAAGTGGCAGCTTAATTTAGGCTGATGTCACCATGGGGCAGGGTTCTCAGGGGTCAGCAAGGCTCACCACCAAGGCTGGGCAAATTCCCAACATGCCACCTGCCTGACCAACTTAGTGGGTCATAGACACTGGGATCCTGACTGCCTCTGGGAGGATTTGGTTTGTTTTTAGAATCATGTTTTTTATGGGGGAAGACTGACAACACCTACAGTTCTATCTTACATGCTGGGCTGCTGACAGGAAGTTCAGGGATCTGAACCCCTTAGTTGTCCAGAGGCCAGCAGTTCAAGTCCACCAGGCACTGTGTGACAGGAAGTGGGCAGTGTCCTCCTGTTAAGCCTGGAAGTCCGAGGGATGGAAGGCAGGAGGTGGTCCGGCTGGGGCTCTGAGCGAGGATGATGGGACTTCCCCTCAGGAACTTCACAGGGACGCTCCCTGCAGAAGGCCGGGTGCCCCACAGAGCAGAGGACACGGTGCTGTGTGCTCCGAGGCCTCCAAGCCCCTGAAGCCTTGCAGCCTGGCGTAGCTGGATGCTGTCCAGTCCATTCCGACTCCTCCATGGAGACTCCAGGTGACAGCAGAATGCCCCACAGGGTCTCCTGGGTGTCATCTCTACAGGACCAGATGGCCAGGCCCTTCTCCAGAGCCAGTGGGTGGGTTCAAACCACTGACTTTCCCATTAGCAGCTGAAGGGTTAGCCAGTACAGCACCAGAGCACCTTCAACAAGTCACAGCCACAACATCAAGGACCAGATGGTTTGCATGTCCGTCGCTCTGCCTCGTCTGTCCTGTGGCTGACCCACGCCCAAGGGCCTGGCCTCCCGGCAACTGAGGACGGTCACTCTCCCATCTCCTTCCCTAACAATCTCCCTATTGACTCATGCCGAGAATTTGGGTGGGGACCCCGGCACTGACTTGTGAGCAGCTTGAACAAGACCCTCTCTTTCAAACAGGCTCCCCCTCCCCCAGCAGGCAAAGAAAAGCGTGCTGTGTGTTTGGGAGCAAACATGGATGAGCAAGCAGCGATTCATGCCGGGTCTGCGCAGCTCCGTGAACTCGCGCATCATCTCGATGCCTCCGCTCCTGGCCTGAGCTCCACCCTCAGCCCGTGGGCGTACCTGCCCGTGAGTCATGACCGCACTACGACCTCACCGCGGTGTGATCAATGGGGAGCAGTGTGCCCCTCTTTGTACGCTCCCTATGGCCAGGGTCAGGAGAGGCAATGACCACAAGTCACCACGCCCAGATGGTACCAAAATGCGAAATTCTCCTGAAAACAACTAAGCAGTCACCCCAGGGGCAGCTGTCCTCTCATGACTTGGTTCTGAGTCCCCCAGCCAATGCTGTTTTTATACACCCTCGGCCGACTAGGGCTCACAGGAACCCTCTCACAATAGTTCTGAACTCTCCCCTATCTTGAGTCAACTCCTCATCAGACACTCCTCCCCGTTACTCTCGTCACTGAGTCAATCCAGCTCATCCAGTCTTCAGCGCTTTCTTTGGTGTCTATAACAGTCAGGAGACCTGGTAACACAACCGTTAAGCTCTCAGCTTTTAACCAAAAGGTCTGCAGTTCAAACTCACTAGGCATCCCAAGGCAGAGCAGACCAAGTGATGTGGCCCCATGAAGATGGCAGCTTGGCGACTGTGTGAGCTGGTCCACACCGTCCTGGGGAGGCCACTCTGGCTGGAATCGACGCACAACTCTTCATGTTTGTAATAGTAAGAGCACCATTCACAGGGTCTCCCCAGCTCACCTCACCTCGGCTGCTTTTTTACTCTCAGCCTCATTTATTTTTAAATCCAGCATAGGGAAGTGATGACTTTTGTTCCCATTCATTCAAGCTGTGCAGCGTTTATGGGATGACGTGATATCCTTCCTGAAACCCGGCCCGGCATCCCTCACCCACAACACGCCCTGAGCCCTGCAACAAGGCCCCCTTCCAAGGAAAACCTTGCCCCAGCACCGCTCATTGAGCACACTGTCCCCTTGGTTCACGCCACGAGCTTGTCAGGGTTACACACCCAACTTCCCTTCTCAGACCCCCAGCCCGGGAGCTCATCTGCTGAAGGGAAACTAGTTTTCAATAGCTCTAGAACTCCCTGCAATCTTCAGCGGTTAGTTATGATCAGTGTGCGCGCTTTCTACGTGACTGTGCATATAACGTGTGTGTGGGGCGTGTGTGCACATATCACTGTGTGTGTGAGGTGTATCTTTGAAGTAAGCACCACTTGGAAGTAACTTTAGAACATTCAACATGGCACTTTCTGTGAGTCTGCCTTCAGATAAAGGAGCTCTGGTGGCACAGTGTGTTATGCATTGAAGTGCTAATCAAAAGTTTGGAGGTTTGACTTTACCAGGGGCCCCATGAGCAGGATGGGCGGCCTCCTCCATAAACATTTACAGCCTCAGAAACTCGCTACAGGCCCACGTAGTCGAAGCTGCCCAGCCAGTCTGGGGTTGGGTTTTGGTGTCTTAAGATGAGAAACCCGCATTAAAGCTTTTGGTTTTGATGATGCAATTCCATGGTGTTGGAATGTTTTGTTGTGTTGAAAAGTAAAATATTAAACAAAACCCATCGAGCGGATTTTAAGCAGTATCAGACTTTGCTCTGGCCTTCCAAGGTAGGGCTTCTGCACACTTCCCCAGATCCCTTTAATCCTTTACTGGACAAACACACAACAAACAGTAGCAACAATCCATGGCAACAAGTGACACACACAGAGCAGCTGTGGTTGGAGTTGTCAGCCCGATGGTTTTAAGGACCACATCTCCTGCTCTCTGACCTGTCTGCCGGGAACTGTCTGCGAGGGCGCCCATTCCTTTGACTCCAGGTCTGTACAGCGTCAGCCACCACCGTTCCCTACTCCTCTGCCTCTCCTGCAACCTCGCCGTTGTCCCCCTTCCCCCGTCCCTGCCGGCGCAGCGGTGACCCCAGGGACCAGCAGGGCATAGGCGGCTTTGACTCTCCAAGTGGAAGAAGCAAGTGTCTAAGTTTTCAGTTTGACAGAGACTCGCGAGTCCCCCTTGCGTCTCTGCACACCGCCCTCCGGGAGCCGGCCCGAGCCCCCCATCCCACGTCCGCGCTGGGCGCCGGGCCCCGCCCTGTGCGCCCCAGCCCAGGACCGAGCCCCCAGCCCCCGCCCTGTGCGCCCCGGCCCAGGACCGAGCCCCGAGCTGTACCCCCGCCGCGCACAATGTTGAAAACAAGGATTACAACCGGGACGCGGCTCGGCGTGGCCTCGCGGGCCGGCACCCACCGCTGTCCCCTCGGCGCTGGCGGGCACTCACCTTGCTGGATTTTTGTCACGAGCTGGTGGCGCGCGAGGATCCTGCTGACCCGGTAGGGCGAGCGCCGGGCAGTCTGGTCAAATCGCAAGTACATGTCCTGGGCCTCAGGTGACCCGCCGCCCAGATAGTGGCAGCCTGAGGCGGGCGCCCGGGGCACCTGACCAAGCATCGCCGCCTCCAGGTCGCCCGCCCTGCGCCCTGGTCCCCGCCGCCCAGGGAGCGCGCGCCGAGAGTCACCACCAGCTTTTGAAACGGGAGAGGCGTGCCAGGGCCCGGTCGGCATTCCAGCCGGCCTCATGTGACCCGGGGGACCAATGGGAGGCCCGCAGCGGGACGGCCACCAGGCTGGTTCCTGGGCCGGCCGAGCCAGGCCAGCTGGCGGGGCGCGGGCCGGGCGCCCTTACCCCACTCGGCACGGTCCCCCGACCCCGCCCGTGGGCTCGGACATGCACCTTCAGCCCTTGACCCTGGAGAGGATTCGGGCCATTGACCTCTGCCCAACGCCTAGCACACTACACCACCAGGCCGCCTTCCCGGAAGCTCACAGCCTTGAAACCCCCAAACAGCCCGAGGAAGGAGGACTGCACTCTTGGCTGTGCACGTTCTAAAAAGTTCACTGGCTTTCTAGAAGTCTCAGAGGCCAGGTGAGGTGGGCTGGGCTTAATGCTTTAAATACCAGAGGAGCCTTAAGAAGTGGAGTGAGAACAGTGCCTGTAACAGCTTCAGCACCGAAAACCCGCCAAGGTGCTTTGCCCCGCAGGTGACAGCCATTCAGAAGTGATCGCAGGACACCTGCGGAGGGGCCTTTCTGACCCCTGGGGCCTTTCTGACCCCTGGCACTGAGAGGTGAGACCTGAGAATGTGGGATGCGGGGAAAGGACGGGTGAGAGGCAGGTGGGCTCATGCACTAAGAGGAGCTACAGAAAGTGGGGAGCCCGCACCCCACCAGGTCAGGGGAGAGTGAGGCTGCCCCCATTGTGTCCTCAAAACACGTATTACCGTCATTTGGAACCAACTCCTGGCCGGCCCCCAGCAGCTTTTCAGAGGCTGCAGCGCCCACTGGGGGGAGATTGCCCATCTTTCTCCCATGAAGCCTGGATTCAAACCACCTGTCTTGGGGTTGACAGCACAACTCCTAACTGCTAGGCCATCAGAGCTCCCTACATATTTGGGGGTTCACATAAAAACCAAAGTCTGGGTCACTCTCCCAGCATGGAAGCCCTAGGGATCAACTTGTGGGCAGCTAACAACACGACCTTGAACCATAAAACAGCTCTTCAGGGCCCTCGTCTGGCATGGTGGGTCAGGCTTTGCTCTAAGTGGTCTTTCCGGTAATCAGGGAATGTGAAATCTTGGCTTCTTACTCTCAGCTCTTCCTCATCAATACCACTCCCTTGGGAAACCTGGCCGTGCTGGTTCACCTGTTCACACGCACGTGGACAAAACGGAAGCCAGGTCCTGAATCATCTCCCTGGTCAGTTGCGGGTGGGACTGATGTGCCGAAGGTGTGACCACTGGGGTGCACAAGGTGTGCATTATTTTCAGAAAATCACCAGGCATTTCCCCCTAGTCTTTCTGTGTCTGGAAGCTGATCTGAAGACTGCTCAGCATTATAACAACATCTAAGCTTGTGCTGACAGGTGGATGCTGGCTGTGCACGACAGGGTGCTGGCCGGAAACTCGAACTCCAGCCACCTGTGTGGAAGGTGAGGATTCTGCCACTGAGCCACCACTGCCCCCTATGGTTCAAGTAACTCTTTGCAGCTGCTCATGGCAAAATGGGCTTGCCATTCTGTATTTCCAGAGGACCTCAGGGCCCCCATAGGAAGGTCTAATAACGTAGGAAGGTCTAGTGGCTTAGCTTTGGCTTAGCGGTAAAGAGTTGGACTACCAAGCCAAAGACACAAGGTTCAAATCCACCAACCGCTCTGCAGAAGAGCACTCCTGCCTCGACAGTACACAATGATGAAAGCTCAACGCCGTGACTGTAACAGTGGGCTGAATGATGAAAGTGGTGAGGACGGCCCAGGACAGGACAGAACTCAGATCCATTGTTCACAGGACGGCAAGGAATCACAGTCCACTCAACTGCACGAATTAAAGCAAAAAGTGATGGTGGGAGAATAGGTTCAGTGTCGAGACCAACCAGAAGGTTGGCAATTCAAATCCACACGCCCTTCAGGAAAGATTTCAGTCTTAGAAGCCTGGTGCTCACCACACACACACACACACACACACACACACACACACACACGGTGGGATCAACTTGACGGCAATGGCTTTTTATTATCAGTTTATATTTAAAGCAAATGTGACATTCCCACCCAATAAATGTCATTAATACTGTCATATGCAAATGATTGCCTTAGTGAAATATTCTCAGACCTTCTATCAATAACTCTCATCCCTTGCTTCCAGCAGTACAGGTAATACCAAACTGGTGGGCAGTCCTGTCTGTTTATTCTAATGCACGAGGGGGTCGCTGTGGATGACTCTCCTCCTGGGCTTCTTCCCTTCAAAGCTCGTGAGAGGACAGTCCCTCTTCAAAGATGAGTGACAGCCCACATGGCCAGAGGAGAAGGGAGGAGCTTTTCCCAACTCTCATCCTCTGTGTATTCCTTCAAAAACAAGGAACTTGGCTTAGTGGGTAGTGGATTTAAGACAATGGTGGTGGGATAATTTGGAAAATAATAGTGAGACAGAGGGTCCCAGCTGAGAAAGCGTAGCCCAGGTCACTGAACCATGACTTGGGAAACTGCTGCCACTGTGGCTACCTGGGGCTGCATGGGTCTTCCACAGCAATGGCACCCTCCTCAGCTCACCTGTCTACCTTTAGCCACTCCTGCATTATTGTTGGTGCCGTCACTGCAGGATTGGATGTGTAATATTGCTTCCTTCTTTGCCTTAACCGTGTGCGCCCCTCCCAGCACCTTCTCTTACCTTGGTTGTTTTGTGCTGGCCTCTCTCACTGTGTATCATCTTCCTCAGCAGCCAGGTTAGTATGTATCTACCCTCTACCTGTACGTCTGAGAGCTGAACAATGGACAAGGACAGAAGGAGAATGGATGCCTCTGAGCTGTGGTGTTGGAGAAGAGCGCTGAAGACCCATGGCTGTCAAAGAACAGATGAGTCTTGGAGAAAGTGTGGTCAGACTGCTCCTGGGAGGCAAAGATGAAGCTTCACCTCCTACACTTGGACATGTTGTCAGAAGGGGCTGCTCCTTGGACTTGGTCGTCAGACACTGCTCTCCCTCCTTTTGTCCCCACTGCAATCCAGCAACTTCATCCTGTTCCTGCTCGCCCCATGACCGCCTGAGGGTGGAACCTCTGTGATCACAGGGTTCATTGGCTCATGTCCAGAAGTGAATCTTCAGGCCTTTCCTCCTAGGAAGCCCTCGTCCAGAGGCTTCATTGAAATCTGTTCAGCATCCCAACCCCACACAGGCCTCCACTGACAATGAGTGGTGTCTGCACATGAGGCCCACTGGTTGGGGACCAAACCTCCTGGTTGGGAAGTTTCCATCTGCATGGAGACCAGGAATTCTACCACTGAGCCCCATGACCTCCCGTAAATGATGATAGAGATCCTTGTGGAGACAGAGTGGCATGGCTGACACAGTGCGGTGTGTGAGATCTCAGAGTCCAGAGTCTGGAGCCTGCATCCAGGAGAGTCACATGACCTCCAGGTGCAGGCATAGCCCCACCAGGCCCAGTTGGCCTAGCTGCTAACAGAGTGTCTATGCTCCCAGAGCAAACCCAGTGCCATCAAGTCCGTTCTGACGGTGAGTCTGCAGGACAGAGGGGAGCTGCCCACTTGGTTCCCAAGCTTGTCCTCTGCATGCGTCCTGCCGGCCACACCTTTCTCATGCAGAGCTGTAGGAAGGTTCTAACTGCACACCGTGGGTTAGCAGCCAAGGGCTAGGACCACCCCACCACCACGGATCCCTCATTAGGGAGTAGAGGTCCTGCTTCAAAGTAGGATTTGAGTCCAAATGTAAAAGCGAGACCACACACACCAAGAAACACTAGGAAGCTTCCACTCATGGCCACGGCCTAAGGGCTAAGTTTAAACCTGAAATCAAATTAAACACGAAACAAAACTCATCCCTACACTCAGCTTTATGTCAAACCACAGACCGCAGACAGGCCTAGGAGATGGCCAGTAACAGCAGACAGGTCCTGAAGACGGGCTTCTACAGTGACCACTAACACTGGACAGGCTCTCAATACTTAGAGTGACCAACCATGGCAGTCAAGAGAGTAGCATCTGCCCAGGGAGAAAGGCCTGTGCAGGAGGGGAAGGATAAATACCTGTGCAGGAGGGGAAGGATAAATACCTGTGCAGGAGGGGAAGGATAGAGAGCTATGCAGGAGGTGGTAGGGTAGAAGAATTCATTGAAACAAGAACCAGAGACAGGAAGTGGGAAGGTGTGATTACGTTGTGGGTATTGTAAAGAATGTTATAAAACAAAATATGTACAGATGATGCAACTTGCTTTCTAAACTTTCACTCAAGTCACAATAAAAAATGTGGAAAAGCAAACAAACATTCTTTTGAATCATATTGAATAAAATGAAAACCTGGAGAAGGAAAATTATCCCAAGTTTGGAAAAATATATTTAATCCCATTGCCACTGGGTCAGTTCCGACAACGTTCTCACACAAGCGGCTCCCAGTGTTTCCAAGGGGAGGGTGAACTGTCTCATCTTAGCTCCACAGAGAAGTTAGTGGACTTGAACTGCCAACCTTCTGATCAGCAGCTGACACTTTAACTACTGCACCATGAAGGCTCCTTCCCTCTCCCAACACAACTCTGTAAATGGAGTTCCAACTTAGCCTCGCGGCTGGCTCACCCTCAGCTCTGCCTGCAGCATCCCCACCTCCAGCAAATGTTCCAGAGAGTTGAGCTCTGAAATGAAACCACGAAACTGAACTTGGGACAGTCTCGTGAGAGATGACCCCAGATTAGCATTCTGCGTAATCTGATGTACGTAACCGTGACGGGAAGACTGGGGCTGTTTCCCCGGAGCAGGCGCTGCTCCCTGGTGAGGCCTCTGCCTGCAGCCGGGCTCTTCCACGCGCCCCTCCTCCCGCAGACTACTCCGTCAGAGGTGGCCCAGGCCCTGTGCCAGGTCAGAGGATGTCCACTATGTGATGGTGGGCGTGGGG